CAAGCGTGTTGATCGCGGTGAAAGCGTGCTGTTTTGGCTGCCAGTCCGACTCTGCGTCTATTTGTACCTGACTATGCCCTGATCTTGTTTCGGGGACTAGAGATTTCTTGTCTTTGGAGCTTGCAAAGTCTCTTATGGCCTTTGCAACATCTACAGAGAGCTTGGTGGCCGCGATTTTAATTGTGCCTCCTGCACGGTCAATCTTTTCAGAGAGCGCAGGTCTCAGATCATTGGCGATATCTACGACGCTGTTCCTGGTGGTTTCAAGACTCGGGTTTTTTCATGCGTGATTCATGGTCATTCCAACCGATTGGTAAGTCGTTGGCGGTACATACTTGTGTTGCCTGCTGCTCGGGTCCTGCAAAGGTACTTGTTACCATGCTGGACTCACCACTCGGCTCATTTACAGTCCTTTGTTGACGTACCCATTTGCGCCCACACATGTCATCGCCGTCGACGAGTCCGTAGCCCTCCTCAACAGATAGCTCGCTTGCCGCGCTTACTGGCCTAAGACTTCGAGACCTAGGCATCTCTTCACAGCTTATGGCTTCCGACTACTGGATGGTCAGTATCTGGTCGTCATGTTTCGTCTATGGACACATAATATACCACTTTAGTCGACGAGACAAGATCTGGCTGTACGCAAATGGTCTGAAGTTATACGAGTGTTATCAACACACTGAATGGTTGGCTAGAAAAGATGAGGAGCAGTTGGGGGCGAACACAACGAAGCTTCTCGATATCAAATCTTTTGGCAGCTCAGCAGAACAATCAACTTCCGAGTCTGCTAATGCTGGCAATGTGGAAGACGTGGGATGATTGCCTTCATCATTTTCGAGCCAATCTCAGAAAGAGAAATGGGGATTCACGAAATTGTTGTCTGATCTAAAGCTGTGGTCAAGCGGCTTTGAACTGGCAGTGTTTTGATGGGCGAAACGGTGCCAAACCATATGTGAGACGTTCACAGCAGCTCTTGACGGCGAGGTTTTGTGGCAAAGGCTGTGTAGCGACCAACCAAGCGTCTTGACAGCCCTTCTGGGTAAGGAAAAGAAAGTCGCCGTTGGTAACCAATATTCGTGATTTTTTCATTGAAAGCTTTGCATTGACACATTCCTTAACCTTGTCTGAAGTCGCTAGATGACTGTTCCTCAGTACAATTTAATAGATCCCAGCATCGCCTCCAGTAAAGCATATCGCTTCCCAAACCTTCTCCCCGAGTCTATACTTAACCAAACCCGCAAAAACCATCAAGTCTCTTGCACTGCCCAAAAGCTCGTCGCTAATTTCTTTATTCATCCCTCCCTCTCCGCCTCCGTACTGCCGCGAGGCTAATAACTCTCTCTGCTGCCCTATGCATGTGATGGTCCAGAGAAGCAGAGGACCAATGTTGCGGGATATCACTGGAGCAAGCTCGTTAAAGTTGTTGGCGCACGCACGGATGACTGGGATGGAGGCATGGGCTTGGAGGGGTAGCAATTTAAGAGAGTCGATAATCTGGAAGACATCGTTAGTCAAGAAACGGGTAAGCAAAAATTCAGGCATAAGGAAATCTTACGTCAATGGCTTCCGACCAGTGGCCTGCAGCAGTTCTGGCTTTTGCCTCAGCCATCCCTATGAGCATATCACACGCGTCACGATTGCTCTCACGGATCTTCTGACTACACATTGCGTTGTTCCCGTATAGGCGAATCATGTTGCGGGCCAGCAGAACTGGATCATCAACAGAGGTCAAGCTCAATGTACCGGCATCAGTTTGCTGATTATGTTCCTGTTGAGCGCTCGTTCTCGGCCTTGATGGTTGCAGACGCATTGGTTCTTGACCGATCTCGACGGCGACGGCTTCAGAGAGAGTCCGGTTCACAATGGAAACTACATTATCATAATCCTCAGCCAGATGGTAGAGCAACACTGCGTCGTTGACTCGGCCGTTGTCATCTGCAACACTCGCTGCTTGGATTGTGACGACTCGGAGCAGTTGTTCTTGGTCAGCTAACGCGATAAGTTTCAGGCGCTTTTCGATGGCTCCTTTCAACCTTGTCCCATCCGCGCGTACGTCACCGAGCAGTTGCGCAAACTCCCGTGTCTCAAGAACCAGCTCACGCAGAGCCTCATGGCATAAGGATGCTTGTGATCTGCCCATTGCTCCTGGAAGGCCAGCATTGAGACAGATCAACGTTAGATAGTCGACAGCGGCCTCGGCGTTACCTGCTCGGAAGTCGCGAGTATAGAAGCCAATCATGCGGCCAAAGCTGATCTGAGGAAGCTCCTTGGTGTTAAAAGTCACTGGCGTATATTTAGTTAGGAGTCATAGTTGTGAACATATAAGCTTACGAAGTTCTGTCTCATTGACTGAAAAGTCTGAAACACGCAACAACCCGTAAAAGTCAAGGGCAATAGCGAAATGTACAGCAGCGGCATAGGAGTACGAGTACAAGTACGACACCGCCTGCTCGAACATGCCTCCCAAGATCTGCAGGTAGAAGTACGTGCCGTAGCCTCCTATACCCTCTGCTCCTTTGGAGAAGTGGCGTTGGCCAATTTCGCGAATAGTCTCTCGTACTTCTTCGAGGCCAAAAACGTCGCCAGCGCTTTCCTCAACACGATTGACCTCCCTTGCGAGGCTGAACTGGAGCCAGATCCAATCTTCAACTCCTTGGCTGATGCTATCAATACTTCGTTTGGTCAGCTCGCAACGACCGATAATTTTGTAACAAGCTAATTGATATGGATCAGTTGCATTGTCTGGAGCAACGCGAGTTTGCGCAGAGTATTCTCGGCTGATGTGATCATGGACTTTCCTATCAAGCCTTCTGTCTGGGTTCCTGGCGTAGGTAGTAATATAGTTCAAGAAGTTTCGATCGATCGTTCGGAACGCTGTACCGTTAGCAACGACATAATCCGCAGCCTCTTTGACGAGACCACTCCTTAAGAGAAAGAAAACCAAAGGCCAAGGATATTCGTCATTCATGGTACGTAGCTCAGAGCCATCCGCAAAGAGGTCCCTCCTCGCTGCACGGATCCTGATGTAAGCCCGGACTTTGTTGATAGTCGTTGGAACACCTCCAATGTTGGCCTCCTTCGGATTTCTAGTAACGAGGTCCTCGAGATCGTGCAAAAAGCTGTGGGGTGTTAGTTCTGATTGGATTTGGGTGGGAAAGATCACATACGACTTCTCTAAGCAACGTCTTGAGCCATCTATGATCCTCTTTCGTATATTCATAGACTTTGCAGAGTTAGGAACTTCATCGAGGTAATCATCAGCGAATTGCCGTTCCTTTGCCCCAGTCTCTCCGACAATCTCGATCAATGCATCATATGAGTCTGCGAGCTGCTTCGGGGACTGGTTGCCCCAGTCAGTTTGAGAAAGGTTCCTGAACGCTCGTGTCCTTACCTCTCCTCCCGGCTGACTCTCAATGCCTTTCAATTCTTGAAGCACAGGGTATGAGCTTTCGTCGAGTCGTGCGCGGTTCAGCGTTTGCACTTTCTCCGCGAACTTGCGCTGCTTCTCCCTTGTGAATCGGCCATCTTGGATTGCTGGTGCTGGTGCGTTTTTCTCTGCGACATCCGCGAAAAGGGTCGCGTTCGCAGAGCCTACCCCTGGAGTACCTATAACAGACTTCTGGATACTCGACTGACCAAAGATACTTCTGTTGAGACTCGATTGACCTGGACGGTTGGCATTGTTTGTCCGTCCTCTTCTTGTCGATTTGCCAAACCTTCCTCTTAAGCCAGGACCGCTTGCCACGTCATCAAAAACTTCTCCATGCTTAGGCATAAGCCCAAAGTGCTCGTAAATCTTTTTCCGCTGCAGCTCCCAATTGATGTCAACATTTTCTTCAAGATAAGCATCGAAATTTCTTTGGGCTCGTTCCAGACCTTCAGATATCATTCTGAGTGTAGATTGCTGCTGTAACTGCTCGACGTGTTTGTGCGTGTCAGGATCCCATTGTGGAGGCGGATGCGAATTTCCACTGGAGGGCGCTTGCGCGGCCAGAGAGTTGAGATCTCGCTGCGTCGTGCCAGGGATGATGCCAGAGGCAGCGAGAAGATAGTGCGCACTACTGTCCACCGCTCTACCTCGGTGCGTTTGTGTACCGACACTTCCCAGCTCCCTCACTCTCTTTGCAATATCGCCGAGACCTAGTTGCAAGCTTGGCAGGTCTCTAAAGCCAGGTCCTCCATCAGCATCATGGGTCCTCTTCCTTGCTTTCTCGAGCAGGTTGTTAAAATAGGCTGGTTGCGAAGTCACTTGTCCTCCTTGCGATTGTTGACCTACTTGCTGTTGCTGCTGTCCCTGGGCTGCTTGTCCCGACTGGTCGTTTTGTTTCTGTGGTTGTGGTTGTGGTTGTGCGGCGAAAAGGGAAGGGCCAGCAGGTTGCGTTGTAGCTGCATTGCCCTGAGCGCCTCCAAACAAGCTAGACGTCTGCTGAGGCAGCACATGTAACGCTGAACCAGTGCCGAAGAGCCCACCGCCGGCGGTGCCCGTCTGCTGTTGTGGTTGTGACGAGCCGAAAAGGTTTGGCTTCTGATCGCTTCCAGGACTGGAAAACAGAGAAGATTGAATTTGAGGTTGTGAAGCACCAAGGCTGCCAAAAAGGTTGGTTGTCTGTCCTGAAGATTGCTGAGGTTGTGAAGTGTTCCCGAAGAGGCTGCTGGTCGGTGCAGCTTGGGATTGGGCAGATGTGGCAGGGTTGAGGTTGCCAAAGAGGCTGGACGTAAGCTTCGGTTGCCCGAATATTGAAGACATGGTGAGGGAGGGGCCAATATTGCTCTGTATCGAACTTTTACATTGTTTTGTAGTCCACACGTCCACTGGGGAGACCGGGAGACGTGAAGTTTACTTTCGTGTTAGGGCTGCAGGTATTTACGAGTAGCCAGGTAGCGTACTCACAACCCCTGCGAAAGCTTGGCATCAGATCTTCCTCATCACAAAGTTCACAACGCATGTAATACAATGAAATAGTGTATAGATTTTCTTATTGGGTGTATAGAAACCCATTATGCCTGTATTCCAGTCTAAGAAATTCCGATCCAGTTCCTATCATCATAGCTTGGGCGCTTTCTACAGGAAAAATCTCAATAGCCATCCTTTTCTCCTCTTCGGCCTTCCTTTCATCTTCACAATCGTTGCGGGTATGTACATTTCACGAGCCTATCTTTTATCTGCCCTATCCTGGATCACCTTTCCAGTTGCAAGACATGTTCCAAGAGCAGAAGGCTCTTAAGTCCCCTTCTGACTGTCTTGGTTGCTCGGCGTTCGTGCTTCGAAGAAGTAATGCTGACTCCGAAATTTCCCTTAGGCTCATTCATACTCACACCCGCCACTGCGCTCAGATACGAACGACATGATAGAAAAGTGCAGCAGATGACCAAGGAAGAGGAGTTGGGCATCGGCAAGGATCGGCGGAGAGTGGATATCAATGAAGAGTATTATCGTTTGGCTGCCAAGGTCAGTTTCACATCTCGATCGTTGGGGACACTTGCAATGCTGAATGGAGTCGCAGGATCTGGACGATTGGGAAAACAAAAGGGTCAAAAGATTACCAGGCGAGAATGATGGAGTATGATGCACCATGCCACCTTTGAGAGTTAGAGCTCTACAACAACCTACGCATTTCGTCGGCTATGGTGCTATTCGACCCACCGCACATAAGTTGCTGTTGAGGGTCGTAAAACTGAAGGAGTAGCCTGGGCAGTGCTCAGGCTTTTTCTCTTGCACGTGTTCCCCCGATACCGCCCAGGCGACCTCAGGCACGTGCGTGCTAACCCACTAAGAGTCGCGACCACACCGGGAAGTTTGACTTCATTTATATTGCTGAGGAGGTGAAGAGGAGTCAGAGGCAGAGAAGGATAAGGCGGAATAGCAGGGATCAAGACGAATATAACAGTCACCCAAAACTCCGTTCAGGCTCTATGGCAATGATCAAGAGCTTCAGTCACCAGGGTCATCGCGACGTCATTGAATGGATGCAATCGTGGTGTACTAAGGTACTCATGTATGGCTAGCAGCCATGCAAGCCGTCAGAAAAGTTTGCTGTCTAGGGCGGTGACCAATTATTACGCGGAATTAGGGTATCATACCCAGAAACGTTGTTCGAACGTGAAACCACTCCGAAATTGAACATTAAAGGGCGAGATGACTCCTCATTGGTGTTGAACACGTCGTATACAACGCGTTGTTTATCATTAAAAATTTTAACACGTTAGGGAAATGTACCACTTCGACTGCCCCGATTTTTGGCATCGAGGCATCTTGCCTGCAGCCAGTAGAATGGACTGGCTCCTTGATGCTCTCTTCCAGTCCTTCACACCTCGGCACCATCGGTCTCTCTGATCCTTCACCTACTGGGAGCTACTGGGAGCTACTGGGAGCACAATCCCCAACTTGCATCGCAGAGGGAAAGCCTGATTTCTGCACTCCTGACATCTGATGATAGTGCTCAAATTTCACCTGAGGCAAGGATGTCTTGGCGTTACTGGGCCTTGAACTCGACTTTGGATCTGTGATCCTTAATGTCCCCACTTTGGGTGGGAGACTGCCCTACTTATTGGCTGTCTATCCCTGCATGTCATACGCATTCTCTCTTCATTCAATACATCGTTCACATCCAACCAGATCTAGACCTCGCTCGCTTATGCCCTACATAAAGGAACATTTCAGAATTTGTGCTCCCTTGCTCCATGGTTTCAGAACACTGGGGACCTTAAGAGCATCCTCTCCAACGCAGCAGTCACGTACCCTATACACCAGTAGAAAGAAAAGTTCAATGCCCACCATTAGTCTGCGCAGCTGTAGCAGCTGCTACGGCCTGAGCGGCTACGGCGTTTGTATCGGCTTGCACAATGACTGCTTGGACGATCTGCTGCTCTTCCGGATTGAGGATCTTGGTGAGATTATCATAGAGCTGGGGTTGCTCCTGTTGCAGTTCTTGAGACAAGCGTGTCAGTGAGCATGAACATAGGTCATCAAGAAGGATGTGCGTACTAAACAAAGTTCCTTTGAATAGTCCGTACGGTTCCACTTTGTCAAGAGGAGTCTCAAGCAAGCTCTCCTCTTCTAGCTCGTCGTCGGATTCGTCTTGTGCGGCACCGAACTTTTCGGACTGTTTCTTACTTTCAGCCGCGTCTGAACGCAAATCCACCAATTGACTCACCTCTTCTTTCAGAAACTCCAGATAAGCGGCACTCTCGTCCTTGACGTCCTCGGCATCCTCACCTTCGTTGGTCCATATCTCTCCGTCCCACTCTTCTTGATCGTCATCGTCGTCATCGTCATCATCGTCATCATCATTGAGGGTGAAGTCCCCTTCCTTTGTAGCCTCCTCACGGTCTGCACGCTGTCAGCCATCTAACAAATGCAACAGAGTTGATGCTTAGCTTACTCTTTAATGCCGCTGGGAGGGTCTGAAACAAGCGGACCACGCCCTGCAATAATCTCGGCCAGCCTTGTTGAACGCTGGTGGGTACTTCATTGGCGTTCAGTGTTAGTAGGGAGCTTATCGCGACAATAGACAATTTCTTGTCGTGGACTCGTGTGAAGCTCTCAATATTCGAAAACCAAGAGCTAAAGAACTTGTTGGTCCATCCATTTGACTCTAAGACATGCAGAGCGATCACTGGATTGTAGTAGAGGGCGTTTATAACCATTTCCATAAGGTGTATTCTGTAAGATTTGACCTTCAGCTCGTTACTTGATAGCATCCTCATAGCTAATTCCACGAAGGTGGGAACGAATCGGTCAACATGTCCCCGAAGATTGAGCATGATTGCTTCTGCAAGCTTGCAGCCGCAGATTCGGTCCATACCTCCGACCTTTTCGTCGTGGAATATGTCCGATACCATACCAACGAGAGCTTCGATATATGTGGGGGTCTGGACCAGCGTTTCTGCCCCATACGAAACGAAATTATCCAAGGCGGGGAGCATGTCTTCCAGGTATAACTCTGCACCGGACTTGAAGGTTTTGTGCATTAACACGAAAGCTTGCCACATTGTAGGTGACACTGATTTAGCCGAGAAAGTGCAGCTGTCAATGATCTCGAATACCTCATTGTACAAATCGAAGAGCTTGTTCTCGAGGGTGATCTGAATCACTGGCATTAGAATGGTTTCTAGGTGCATTAAAACATCCGGTGTTGCCTCCAAGGTAAGAATGAGAGTACCAATAGTTTGAAGAACGCCAAGCGCGGTAATGCTCTTGTCGTCTAAGAAGTCTCCATAGGTCTCGTCTTCGTCTTTGGCGCTCTGCTTTTCTAATAGTTCGCGGACGATCCGAAGGTACGTATCCCGCAATTGCTCGCTCAGTGCGACTGCGAAAGGGGTGAGCTCGGCGGCGAATTCTTCAACGAAATCCTCCATAACATTAGCTAGCGCATCTACGTCAACTTCATTAGCCAGCTTCAGTAATTGCTGCATTATTTGCGGTATGTTTTGTTGCATAGAAGCCCGAATGACTTCGTGTCTGATGAGAGGTTGAAGGGCGAGGGCTGCCTCTACGCGTACTGGCAGCGCAGGATCGGCCATCGATTCGAGTATGTTTCGGTAGATGATGAGCAGATTGCTGGGGTCCTTAAATTCAAGTTGCTCAAATTTGCCCAACGTGTCGCAGGCTCGTGCCCGAAGAAATCCATGGGGACTGCGGAACTCTGGGAAGACATGCCGGACAAAGAAATACTCGACTTGATCAGCTATTGGACTTTTTTTGCTCAGAATGACAGAAGCCAACGTTCCGATCATGCGGAGTGCTCCTTCTTTCTCTCGAGCGTTCTTCTGATCGTCTGGAGCAGATTCGTACTTGTTGACGACGCCGTTGACAAAGTTCAAAATTGAGAACGTCTGTTTCTTGCGGCTTTTAGTCAATGAGACTAGGAGATTAGTCGCAGCAACATCAGGCGCTGAGACTTCTTCATAGAAATTCAGCTTGCGATGAAGGTATTCTGGAGGATCGGAGTCAAAGAGCTCAATGTCTTCATCGGATTGGCAAAGAATTGGAAAGAACACGTGGGAGATGAGGGTATCCATGTGCGGTTTGAGGTGATTCCACATTGACTTTGGCTTCACGCACTCGTCCAGAAAGCTTAGCGTATATGATAGCGATGGCTTGCTGAGCCAAGTTGTTTTGGATGCCCACTTCTCGATTGATTGTAAATATCCTTTGAGGATTTCAGGAGCGAAATTCGCAAGAAATGATTTAGAGAATTCCACCATCTCTGGAGAGGCATTTTTCTGGTTAGTGCTGGGGCTGCCGTATCTTGAGACCATTCAGTAATCGCCCATTGACAGAATTTAGCACCTTGATATTTACTACATACCGTACAAACAGCCGATTGAGATTTGCATACGCCCATTTCTTTGACTTCCAGAAATGATTTCTTTCTCGCTCGTCGTAGTCCTCGTCAAGGGCGTGGCCTGGAGCCTCTTTGGCGACGATAGTCAGGAACAGGGTACACCAACCAACCATTCGGTCTTGATGCATCAGGTATCCAGGTAATTCGAACTTCATGCATGTTAGCATGCCACTGGTTGTAGGCGTGTAGAGGATCGACCCACATAGATCGCATGTTTGTACGCTTTCATGATGATGTGTAACATTTCCCATGCCTCCACGCTTCTTTCTCCCACCAGTCGTGTGGCAATACCCAGCAGCTGTGGGAAAGATGCCTCAACAATTTGGTTGAAGTTCCCCCTGTTCTCTCCTCCCTTAAATCTATACATCCGGCATATTGCTAGCATACAATGTAAGCCTGCGAAGACGGAGTTTGCATCGTTTGTATTCAACAGTTGCATCGTTATATCTAGGAAGTTGGGCCATTTGGCAGGAAAGTCGTAGGATAATATTTTTTGTAGGATTGGTATGAGCTGTATCCGGACTTGTGGTGACGAAGAGGCTAGTATAGGTAGAAGACGGTTCCGCAGGTCGAGCTTCTCATCTTCTGGTATTTGTTTGTGTGCTGCAGAATCTTCGCTCGGTTGCCATGCTCTGGTGACTCGGTTTTTGAGGTATACAACAGCTGTATATGAATTAGCGGTGTCACTGTAAAGGCAGTCGGAAGGCGTACTGGAAAGACGTATGCTGTTGTCCTGCTCCGCCTGTAGTATGTTGAGAAGAGCGTTGGTAAAGCCTGGTTGTTCTTCTGCCTTGGAGGGGGCATGTCAACACATTGTGAGAACAAGAGCACCAGGGAGCTTACATATCTCAAGTCTAATTCAGCTTGACGTCTCGCATCTGCATTTGGGTCCACTGTCGACCGTATCCGGTTTCGAAGGAGCGTGACATCCATCCTGTCTTATGTCTGGCGCGTCAGCGCGCCCAAGAGAGCGCAACGGAAGCAAGGTTGAGGGCGTGTGGGGGGTGGGCGTGGACTGAACGGCGGTCTATTCCACGTAGGGTGCTTAAGACTAGGACAGTCAAGGGTCAGAATAGCGCGCTCAAACCAAACTGCGAATGCAAGTCAAAGGCTGCGTGGAGTTTAGGGACAACATGCACTTGTTTTGCGCGGACTGAGGAAATGTTGTTGCACGAGAAACGAGGTGCAACCACAGTAGTGAGCCGCCAAGATTTCGAAAATGTCGACTATCATCTCCTTGTGCTACAATTTTCGCAGGAACCAACCTCACAACATCATGTCTGATCAACCATTTACATTGTGCCAACGTTCTCACTCCATCAGTTACATGGTTTTATTGCCTACCTCAATGTAGGAGGTGTTGGTAACACATACAATACAGCAGAGAACTTCACATGATCATTGCTACACATCCATCTCTCACATATAGAGCGAGGCGACCGCTGTGATGTCGCGTTTGATCAGCTCTTGCGCAGTTTGCATCTTTGTGAAGAGCTCAGGGTCTCCAATGATCCTCGCTGCGTTCTTCACCTCCCTACACGTCTCGTCCAATCTCGTGATTACGCGGACGATCGTTCCCTCCAGCACATCCGTGAGGTCGGTGATTCGGTTGAATGACATCCCCCTGGCCCACTCATACACCACCTCCACGAGACCAAACCGAGGTCGACTCACAAAGTCATTCGAGTCATCGCTTGAGAGAATGACTTGATGCTGCGTCTGGAAAGCGTTGACTTTTTCAGATATAGCAATGATCGTCTCCTTACCTTTTTCCAGATGTGGAGTCAAGGTGGGCTCGGCCTCGGTCTTTTCTTGGAAGACAAATGCTGATAGAAGAGCGACAATCTCTTCTGGTTCGAATTTTGCAAGCACATTTTCGAGTACAAGCTCAGTAAGGACAAGCTCGTCAGCCGAATGAATCTAGACATCTTTCGTCAACGACGGTCAAGAAGATGCATCACAGGTTCAAGCTTACTTCACAGGCTACCTTGCCTTTGAGCTCAACCCTTGAGTGGTGGTCGATGAACCCCAAATCTTTCAAGACAGATATTCGCTGTTCGTAGTCGGGAAGGAGCTGTAAGTTCTGATCCGACATTAGTTGCCTCAGCTGTGATATATTCTCTTTGACGAGCCATTCATCATGACACATAGAGAACTACAACAAATCAGCATACACATGGAAGTTTTAGAAATTCAGTGCCTTACGTGCTTGACAAAGTTCGGGCACTCGAGCGCACGAGTTTGCTGGGCTTTGGTGGCTTCTTGCTTGCGATGTTCCAGTATCTCCCGTGTCTGGAGCTCCTTCATCCGACTCCAGTCCAGTTCGTCCCAATTAGGCTGGTCCCATGCTGCACAGATCTTCGCCACTTCCCCTGCTGCGATCTTTGTCGCTTCTTCACTGTGTTTTAGTAATTTATCGGTCCCAATCTACGATTTGGTTATCAATACCTTTCTTAATCTGCAGATGCCAGGTAGGTCCTCTAACCTGTACAATCGTTTTGGTCACAGAGTCAATGTCACTCAAGGGGATCTTGAGGACCTTGAGCTCCATCTCTGCAACCTCTGTAGGTAGCTTTGCGAAAAGGGGGCGAAATTTAGGAAGATAGGGTAAAAGATCGCCCGGATTACGAGTTGGGTTTTTCGCTCCTAGAGAGAGAAGCTCGAGGGTCGGAGCAAGGCCCTTGCTCACGCCTTCGCGTAGAAGGATTCCAGCTGTATGTATACCGTTCTGAACTTCAATTAGCTCCATCGGCCTAATTTTGTTGTATGAAAGATTTTTCACCTTTCGAAATACAACCAAGCGCTTGGCAGATAACATCCGCCTGCCAACAGGAGATGCTAAAAGTGCAAGGTGCACGTCTGCAGTGGCTAGCAGGTATTCCATGGCCGCGTCGTGACACACGTCGATATCGATATCGCAAACTTCGCAAGGTTCACGTTTGATCTTGGCCAAGTCCAATTCGGAGAGCTTGATCTGCTTTTCTTGCTCGGGGAGCAGCGCCTGGGTTGCATTTTCACTGAAGCTTCTTTTGATCATCTCCTCAATCTTTAGTGCCTCTACTCTGAGTAGGTTGAGGATCATGTTGTAAGTAAGACGAAACTGAGATCGTAGTTTCGTGGGGTCCCCAAGAATCATCTGCTTCAGCGTGGCAGCAGGCGGAGCCTCGTCACTGTTAGAGTTGACGATAACTACGCTGCCAACGGGGTCGATTCCGCGCCGACCAGCTCTACCTGCCATTTGCGTGTATTCGCCGGGCAGTAGATCTCTAAAGGCTCGGCCATCATGCTTGCGGAAGCCAGAAAAGACCACTGTACGCGTTGGTAGGTTAAGACCCATAGCAAAAGTTTCCGTAGCAAACAAAACTTTCACAAGTGTCTTTGCGAAGAGGATTTCAACGACTTCTTTAACAATTGGTAGAAGACCACCATGATGTACGGCGACACCCCGACTGAGCAGTTCCCGTAATCGCCTGATTTGGGGTAGAAGACGATCCTCTGGCTTGAGCCGAGCAATTGATCGCTCGATTGTCATGTGTATCGCGCTCTTCTCCAATGCAGTACAGAAGTCTAGATTTGACAAGGCGTCGGCATTTTGCTCACACCTTTTCTTCGAGAAGACAAAGATGCATGCGGGAAGAAGATCATGCTTCTTTAGATGCTGAATGAGATGGACCCAGATGTTTCTGTCCTGCGCAGCACTTGTTCGACCTCCGCCCCGCCCTGTCCGAGCGATATTCCCGACGCCTCGCGGAGCCTGAAACCTTCCCTGCGACTGTGTCCCTCCACGCTGTTGGCCTCCACGCGCAGGCCCATCACGTTGAACCTGGCCACGGCCTCCTCTGGCATTAGACGCACCGCGCTGAGTAGCTGATCCACTGGCTTCAACCGCAGATTGACTCTTGTCCCTACCTGACATGGCTATGTTTGCCTCCTTCCAGCCTTTGTCTAAAAATTTCTTGTCCGCATCGATGATTTTATGCATGGTCTTATCAGCCCACAGGTAGTGTTCCAGTGGCACTGGTCTTTTCGGGGTTGAGATAACATAAATGTCTTTCTTCTTTGTTCTTCCTACCCAGGAAGCAAACTCGTAGGTATTCGGAACAGTTGCTGAAAGAAGGATGAGAGTGACGTGCTCTGGGAGCATGATGATTACTTCTTCCCAAACGACGCCCCGCTCCAAGTCATTAACGTAATGAACTTCATCGAAGATGACGAATTCGACATCTCTGAGTAGGTCCGCTCCGCGGTAGAGCATACTTCTTAAGATTTCCGTTGTCATGATAAGGCAGCTAGCTTCTGGATTGATCTGGACATCACCTGTCAAGATGCCCACGTCTTGGAACCCAATTCTGAAATCTCGAAATTTCTGATTGCTCAAGGCTTTGATTGGAGACGTGTAGATAGCTTTAGTCATGTGCCTGGCTGCCAGCGCTATTGCATACTCAGCAACGACGGTCTTCCCAGCAGAGGTATGAGCCGCTACGAAGACCGAATCGCCATTTTCGAGATGATATACGGCCTCTTTCTGGAAAGTGTCGAGCTCGAAAGGCCAAGTCCTGGCCATATGGGGCACAAGTTCTTGAAAATTAGTGAGTTCTCTCTTCACGTCAACCATGTGAGCCCATTCTCTGCCGCCTTTCCGCATCGTCGACGCTGCTAGGATACCATGAGGCCCAAGGGCTGGAAATTCTACGGGCAGTATGCAGTCAATGTCTTCCTCGTCCCCCCCGTTTGAGTCGCTGTCACCCGACTCATGTTCTTCCAACGAGACACCGTTGACGCCGGAAGCCCCTTTGCCATCAGAGGTACCTATTTCTTTAGGCTCTGCTCCTAGAGTGTCTTCCACTTGCTTTGCAGTAGCCTCGTCCAGCTTTTTGTTATCCTTCGTTAAATCTAGTCCTCTGTCAAAGCCGGGCGGTATCTCGAGCAAACCAGCATGCGAACTAAAATCGATCACACGGTCTAATCTGCTCCCTTGGTTGCCTTTGGCTTGTTGCTCTTCTTGAATGGCTTGGTCTTCATGCGCAGCAACGGCAGTTACACCGTCAAGCCCGCCTGGCGCAAACGGAAAGAATCCAGCAGCTCCACGAACGAAGTCAGCACGATTAGCTGGTTTCCTGAGTAATGAGGTCGAATTCTTGGCGGTGGCGCTATTGGCAGGTACGGTGACCTCTTTGTAGCCAGTAACTTTGCCTTCCAAACCTTCTCTAGTAAAGCGAATAATAGTCCTCGTCTGTGTGGGTGCCAGCTCATATACACCAGTGTAGTCTGTGGGGATATGCCATCGTCCATAGAGAATGTCAGCAGATTCTCACGCCTCTTGGTTGGACGACATACTGTTGTAACTTATCAAGCCATTCCACGTCAAAAGACGTCTGCGGTGTGAGGAAGTCCTTTTCCAGCTCCCTCTTCAGAGCCTGAGTATCTATTTTGGTTCGCTTCCTTGGCCTCTGCTGAAAAAGCGTACCGTCGATGCACATATCACGGTCAAAATCGTGCTCGTTGGCGCTCATACGCAGCCTTTCGACCGCACGCCAAAGATCTGAAGTCATGGGGAAAAAAATCTCTACCTTTATCAAGGCAAAGATTGATGACACAGAAGTGACCAGACGGATGTCAAGGGACTAGAGCAATGGAAGATCCGGATGGCATGGGCCCCTAAAGAAGGGGGTTTTGGGGAGGATATAACCTTTTGATGCCTGTACGGCGAGAAAGCAGAGTCTGAAACTTCACTTCGCTTGTAACCATCTACCTCACCTTTCCGAAGATTCTACGAGATAGGTGTGGCTAGATCTTTGCTGAGTGAATAAAGGTTGGGGGTTGCTACCGTCAAGCATGGCATCAACGTGGTCACAGTCAAAACATAATATTGCTGCTTTAGGTCTAGCGCCTTTACAAAGGCCTGTGATACACCCCTTTTTGATACATTGACACCCCCCTCACATCCGTGTTGTTAGAGGTATTAGAAGCGGGACGGGTTTTGCTAACCGTTACGACTAGACCAAAAGGTGATCACTAGTAGTCCGTCACTAAACAGTAATTTATACTAGTTGTAGGCTTGAAAGCGTACGACCGCTTTCCCACACACATCTGTATTTAGTTCGTATTAGGTTCGATTCCTAATGGCGCTGGTACAATGGTGTTGCGGTGCTTCTTATTTTCTATCCGAGCATAACTTCCGGGTACGATAGGTGTCAGACTCGACACACTCTACCTCGCATTTTCCAGAGGCACTTTCCCGGGTCAATACAATTGTCTCTTATTTCATCGTTAACCCCCGAAGAGCAAGTCTGATTAAGGTACTGCGTATCGAAAGAGTGTAGAAGCGAGTGTGTATAGGAGCGGCCCCCCGGAGGAAGAGAGGATCTTGCTCACGAGTGACGCACTCCGTAGGTAGTAGCACCACGGCGTTTCAAGCACTTAAGATCTGCCTGCGCCCAGCCCGATCGGCGCAATCAGCCCGGAAGCTGAACCCGGAAGCTATACCCGGATAGAAAATAAGAAGCACCGCAACACCATTGTACCAGCGCCATTAGGAATCGAACCTAATACGAACTAAATACCCGCCCCGGACGGTAAGCCAACCAACGAACATTTTCCGGGCATGAAAGCACCGGTGACCGGGGGAATTCGAACCAACGGCTGTTCCCGGTTGAGAACTTTAAAACCTGAGGCTAATGGCGCTGCCAATAAATAAGAAGCACCGCAACACCATCGGATGTGAGAGAAATGAAACACAAAACCATTACACCATTGCACCACCGCCATTAGGAATCGAATCTAATACAGTAAACTTGATACACTGACCACAGTGAGGATCTTACAGGGGTTGCCTAGCCAATATCACTAGTGGGCCTTGGCTACGAGTAGATATCTGGCTCTGCACCAGTCATACATAGCCAGTGATCCTTCTACCTCTGGACCGTAGATCATTGGTTCCTCTTACTTCCTTGAGGGGGGTGTCAATGTATCAAAAATGGGTGTGCATATATCACGAGCCTTTAGAAAAAGTAGCAGACACGCTCTAATTACTTGTAAGGTATCTCATGACCAACCACATTGACCGATCCACGGATCCACGTAGTCGCATCACCACACATCGTTGAGAGCTAATAGTGCATCCTCATCATCGGCAAAATTCTCCTCCCTTGTTGGGCTTCTGGATTCTTGCCCTAGTATTGGAACAGTCTTCGTTGAATCTTCCAAAAACAAATTTTCCGTGTCACCATCGCGTTCCGTCTTCCCATCGTCTCGAGGAAATGTTGGTGTGGCTGCGTGGATATCATTGTCATCTCCCACAACTGCAACAGGCGTTCTCGGCCTTTCCCTTGACTTGACCTCCCAGTATTGTTGCTGTCCCGCTTTCGAGCTTCTTTGTTCGCCTGCCAGCTCTTCTGTGCCTTCTCCTAAGCTATCCAAGCTGTCCTGTGGTTTCCCTTCATTGATCCACTCTCGCCTCATTGTTTGCATTCGTTTTGTGTGGCCAAGCTTTTCAATGATGGCAAGTCCGTCTGCGAATTTCGCTCGAGGATATAGTTCATCTAGCCACAACTGATACATATTCAGCAGTCGAGCCATATCAGAGTACTGCAGACCGGAAGATGTCAGCCATCGCCTTGTTAAGCTCTTTCGGACGCCATACTTCGTGCCCTTTCCCTTTGAACTTCAATCGCTCTTTCGCAATTCTCCGTAGCTTTGGGATACCAGCAGGTGACAGGAGCCTGTGAACCATTGAGCGATCGGTCCACCGTTGCAGTTAGGCGCGAACCTATTTTCGTCCAATTTCGGTACAGGAGCCCTCTTTTTGGTCACTTTGATCTCTTCGTCGATGCCCAGACCTGCGCCATTCTCCTTTTCGTCTGCTCTTGCGGCAGGCACATCCATGTTAGTGTCGACATCGCGAAATACATCACCAACGTCGTAGTCGAATAAGCTGTCATCCAAATCGTCGACTGGGGGAACATTTCGTGCGGCTACATCGGTAGTTGCCATGGTACTGTTCAGGATAGGTTGCTTGTATGATCTAGGCCTCTACACTGGGATGGTGGATGAGCCTTCTGCTGTATGTAGATAAAAATCTTCTTGTTTTTGCTTTGAAAAAGAATGTTCGATATAATGAGTCGCGAAATGACGCGATTCCACGCGACGTGCTTCTTCGTAATCCTTGGCACTGAGAAAATTTTGCCCCCTCTATGACCTACTGTAAGGTCGGCAGGGGGCTTTTCGTAATGCTCCGTGTAGGCTAGTTATATAACAACAATACCATAAGCATTATTTTATAAATAAGGATTTATTACAAGATTTTTCGTATCTACCCTAGAATTCTCTTATAAGATTTTCTCATATCAGGTATGTTTTAATATCATGATATTGTAACTTAAAAATCCTCCTGGGAGTCTCCTGAGAAAGCGAGTCTTCTATGAATATTTCCGTAAATACGAGTGCCAAGCCTCGTTTTCGGGAATTGGCTACTGTAAATTACATCCACGCTTTTTCATTTCTAATTTCAGATTCGAGCGATTTAGCCAAAGTTCTCGCGAGGGTGCTATGCCCGGGGTTCTTACGGGTAGTGGTTGGCTGGGGTGGTGTGGGCTGGGGTGGTGTGGGCTGGGGTGTATGGTGAGAGGTTACAGTGGTATTAGGCTAAGATGTAAAATACAGCTTAGTCATTAGTGGTAGGATCGAGATCTCCTGAGTGAGAAATCTCCTAGAATTCAAAAATACTCCTAGGATCTCTGTAAAATACGATATTATTTTACACTATAGCTACTTATACCCTAAGCCTTGTCAATGCGGGTCGAAATATTCCCCGCCTACAATTTTGCTAAGACTCTCCAGGTATGATTAGTAAAACCCCCCTGCCGACCTTAAAGTATTAATCAACAATGATTTCTATCGTAATACGGAGGTTGCCACCGAAAGTCCTGAACATTAGGGTTAGGGTTTCAAAACCCTTGGCATTCTTGGCAAATATCTTGAATATCTTGAATATCAATGCTTTGCATAGTAGCGACATCACTGCTATATATATAGAGTGTATGCATATGAAGTACATAGTAGCGATATTACTGCATGCATACGGGGTATGCAGTTACGATATTATTGTGTGCACAGTAGCGATAGCAGCGTATGCCTAGATATATTGCCGAAGTTATTCGTTTACGAGGCGGTAACGAGTATCGGGAGGGCCGTGAAGGAGGGGATAAGCGGCCCTATGATCCAGCTGACCGAGCAAATCAGTACATACATAATTATATGAAACATCGTATGTAGATTATGAAGCTATTCAAGAAATTTGCCAAAATGCTAGAAATGCCAAGAATGCCAAGGGTTTTAGCGCATGTTCAGGACTTTCGGTGGCAACCTCCGTACATTCAAGAAAGTTTCAACCATCAAGTTTGATAACGTATCGCGGAAGTCTTTATGTGTTCAAGTTTTCATGCTACGGTCTTGAAAAAAAGCCGAGATATCTCGAAGCATTGCCGATTTCGTATTTCCTCTTGTATCAACTACAAGTATGCATAAAACTGGACTTGGGAAAGTCTAGACAGATGATCGTACATTGATTTTGAAGTGCTGTTCGTCAAAGTACTCGTACTGTCCAGAAGTGAGTTATCTCGCTTAATAGCGCCGGGAGTGTTGACCAATCAAACTACTCAGTTCTCCGCGAAAATCGTAGTTTGATTGGTCAACTCTCCCGGCGCTATTAAGCGAGATAACTCACTTCTGGACAGCACGAGTATTGGCGGAGTGGAATAAGCGACAGAGAGCGCTTAATGCCAAGGATTCCGGACCTTTCTGCATACGCTAATATTGTCCCGAAGCCGGCCGATTGAGCCCAACTCGAACTTCGTTCCTTCTTCCTGATCGAGCACGCCCAGCATGACAGACCTACAGCAGCGGCCATATGTGCCAGCGAAGCAGCCAAACACAAGATATCCAGTCAGTAACCTTTAAGAGATTACTGAGACTCAACTAATAGGCTTCCAAAGCTCATTGACAATGATCCGTACGTACCTCAGGCTGCTAGTGCTTCATTGATCTGACCACTGCGCAGCCATTTCAAGCGAGTTGTCAAATATGCGCGACCTGAAGACTATGCAAAAGGAGGTGCTATGGCTGCCTTTGGCCCCGCCTTAATGTTGCTTTGGGAAAAGCTATCTCCATCACATGTTTCCAAGGGGAGCTTTGCGTCTATCATGCGACTCAGCTGCACTATTGGGGCAGGCGCGGGATTCCTCTACTTTTACGAAAACTCAATTTGTACAATCACCTCAACCACTTCCAGCCCAAGCTCTAGCTAACGCCTGGGCAGTGCGATTCTACGGGGTGGAAGAAAACAAAAGAGAGGTGGAAAGGGATATGCGGGAAATGGTCGATAAAGTCAAGAGGAACGAGCCATTGTATGGGAAATCGAGCCTTACCCCATACATGCAAGGCGTGGCTTCACGTAATTCGCGGTATAGCGGCATCTGGCTCCATGTCATTCCCTGGTTCAATTTTGTCAACCATGATCAGGTATTGCTCACTTTGTACGGCACGATAGGTTCAATTCGCTGATGTTCTGTAGCACGGCGTCGACACGGCTAAATACTACAGACAGGCAGAAAGAGAGCTTGCTGCAGAGCAAGCCGGCAGCAAATAAGAATTGTCACGGCGGATAAAGCAAAAGAAGGCATACAGAGCGACTGTGCAGTTTTATGGTTGTGCTGCGTTTTTGTTCTGTCCTGGTTCCTGACAAGGCCTTTAGTATCGTCACATTGATGAGCTGGCCATTCTTAGGTCTAAAACTCTCTACAAGAATCACAAGGCTCCGCAGAGCTCAGTTTTCTATCCCAGAGCGAGCTCCTGCTGCTCTATCTCTGCCTTTCCACATCTGTCTTTATATCAATGCGGATCAGATGCTGTAGTGAAACTACTGGATCTCTATCGACGCTGCTGAAAAAGCGGCGGAATCTCAGTGTTGAGTTGTCGATCTTTCTTTGGTTTTGGTTCTGGGGCTGAACTGACCGTCAACAGGTCTTTCCTACGTTGCAAGAACAAAAGTCATGCCTTTGCCATTTTCCTGGACGTAAAATCGTCGCAGCAACATGATTGCCTGATCCCGAAATAAGCCACCATACGCAGGAAAGGGCTCGTCAACGCTGGGGCTGTCATGAATGTGTTAGCGATACGCATTGTTCGAAGCGACGTTAAGCATACTCAGAGTGGATTGAGAGGACTCCACCTGTACCGCCAAAACGATCGTTGGAGCACCCGTAGTATACAGCTTTGATGTGAAATTGGCGGAGAGCTGAAGCACACATGATACATGGTTCGACGGTGACATACAGACTTGTCTCCCGAAAAATCGAGGGTGGATAATTGTCAAGTATGCTATTGATGGCAAGGAACTCAGCGTGTCGGGTCCCCTGCGTTGCTCATTAGAACAGTAAATAGTTGCAATTGATCAAGAATCGCCGTTGAGGCCAATTGCTGCCTAGCATCAACAACCGAACATACATTCAGAGACCTATTGGTATCGTTCATACCCCGACCAATTATTTGACCTTCATGCACAAAGACACATCCAACAGGTACTTCGTTAGAGGCAAGAGCTTGCTCTGCCTGAGTTGTTCAGTCCGCTGTCTTCACACTCTATACATTGTCGGCCTGGCATACCATGTCAAGGGCAGCACGCATACATTCTTGATGTTTCTGGTTATGCAGAATTTCATCCACTTGAACATCATCAAGCCCCATGATGATCAGTCCTCAATGTCACGCACTTAATGGTCTCATTTGTGAACGCCTTGGACTTTTGAACCAAGAGCAATAATCATGCCTGTTTTTGTAGGGCTGCGGACTTTGCGGCCGCGCTTCCGATGTCTCTTTCAACACCGCGCGCCAAGCGATGGAGACGCGTCGTGTATTCCATACTCTAGCCATGACTGACAGCGAAGTAAACCTGATATCAAGGGAAGACCTTATGCTGATATGGCTCGAGACGTGGGAAACAGTGGGTCAGGACGTCCTGTACTCAAAGAACTTTCCCAGAACGCGGAGCCACCACAGTCCACTCTTGCAGCACAGCTTGTCAGCCATTTCACAGATGGGAAGAAGCATCCCAGAACTCAAGATGTAGAGACATTTCGCCAGCTGCTTCGAGAAATTCTTGGTACTGAAAGTGGACAAATTTTTCACGCAGAACCGCTCGAAACAGACAGTGACGTGGATTGCAAGCTGATCTATGTGATCGTGAAAGCCGGCCTTGAAAAGATAAGCTCGGACGACCCGTTCAATGGTAAGACTGAACTATCTAGACACGCTGCTGACAGTTTGACTGCCATAAACTTCACTATCAAGAGGAATCCTGAAGTTCTGTTTGCTGCTCCCCAATTCCACGGACCAGACCCACGGCCGATTGGTCCCTTGTATCTATGGCTTCTGCCGAAGCTCCTGGCTTTGACCGGGTGCCTACAAGATAGCGAGACAATAGAGGGGGTTCTCCGCATCTTTACGACTTTTCTTGTCACCGAGAGAAAGACGCATGTTAGAAGGATGAACTTACATCCAGTTCTGACATACATGAAAGGGTGCACCAACGGTTAGCATGCGTATCCGCCCCTTCGCGTGCATCACCAGCTCACGTAATATCCTGAAGACCTTTTGTCCCATCTCGAAACAAAGACTTCTGATCTGGCTGCAAACCCCAACATGCCCCCATATCATGTGCCTTCTGGAGCGACAATTTCCGGACTCTGCCCGCAGGATCTGCCACCAAATGAGTTGCAGGATGCTATTCAAGTATTCTTCAGACACAAAAGACCAATATTCGATACGACAATGTGCCTTCTAACATTTTTCACTACACCTTCCTCATGCAGGCCAGGTGTCATGTCGAATATTGATTTTCTTACTTCCGAGGACAGCTGGACCTTGAACACATTGACTCGATTTTGGGGCGCAATAGCTCCCGAAGGCGGCCAGCTTGACTACGCTGAAAGCACCTTGTCGAGTGTAATATCCTTTCTGGATCGTATTCGCGCGTTTTACACCCGTACCTCGGGCTTCGATTCTCGCTCAGCAGTCGTGAACAGGGTGTCAACATTGTACTCGCAGATCACAACGACTTTTCTTGTCGCGGACTCATTACCTTTACCGTCTCCCGTTGAAAAAAGACTTTGTCTCATGGTTTTCGATCTTGCTCTCACTGATTCAAAGTGGGGGCCTAGGCTTCGAAGCTTTGCGGGGAACACACTATCAAATCTACTCGAAGTAAGAAAAGATCACAAGCGTTTCGACGCATTTGGTCAAGATCTCCAGGTACGCGCAAGCAGATGCTCTTACTGACAGCTACTGATTTGCAAACCTCACAGTACGCTATATCCTTGATAATCTCGCTCCACGAGCAAAATCCGCTACAGAACTTGCGCTTGCTGCCCTTAAGTCGAATGCCGTCATTTGAAGATTCGGAAATTCAGCAAACCAGCCACAGCTACTTCTGCAATCCTGTGCCCGACACAGACAATCATGACCTCGAAAGACCGTCAAAGAGAGCACGCCTGGCCACTGTCAATGGTGGTCAAACCATGAACGACGTGCGATCAAGCATCGTGAGCAAGATCTACAGCTTGTTGGGTCTTCCCGATAACACCGCGCTTATAGGCCTTAGTCGGAATGCGGTGTAGGTGACCGCCATGCCTGTCTTCTGATGGAGGTGCTAACGTTTGATAGCGACTGCTTTCCAAGGCTTTCTGAGGAGGAACAGTGTTCCTTATGTGCTGCGATTGGGCAACTGGCTTGCGCAAGCGCCCAAGCTTTGCCAGAGACCTTGATTAGCGAATATCGACGACCAGTAAATAACAAGTGCTACATCTGTGACGCGGACATGAGGGACAACAGTATATCAACACAGTGGGAGTGTTCCGGGTCGGAAGAGGCGTTTTCCACTATACTCAGCCTAATCAAATTGCCCAAAACCCAAAAATTTCGAAGACCTCGTGTCGCAGCTACGCTGGCTCTAAAACGTTTGTTGTCTCATACCGCAAAGGAAGAGCACTTGAACCTGACAATGTCCGCGTATGGCCAATGGTGCTTACAAGCCTTGCAAAGTTCTATACGGGAATTGCGCATTGCGGCTGGGTCAGTCAAAACAAGTTGATTTGGTAAGCGCTCTACTGACAAGTATTAGACGGACATTGCCAGTCTTCATGCAGGGCACTCTCAAACCTTCCATAATCCTCAAAAATCGACACGTTGTCCTGGATTTCTTACGTACTCTTTCAGAACAAAACGATCTTGCACTGCAGGAAACGTGCATACTCGCCTGGGGCCAAATTGCTCGGTTTGTTGGCAAGTCATGGATTCGTTCCCAGTGCTGATCAATTTATAGGATCTCTGGTGGTGACGAGATGAATATTGTTCTTCTGAAACTTGTGGAATACTTAGGCCACACTAATGCATTAATATCTGGACTTGCGTATGATGAGGTAAGGGCCTACTATACAGATCCAACCCACATATTGTTAATGCATTACAGATTCAAAAGATATCTAATCATTCCCATTTTTCAGCAATGAAGCTGTTTGCTCCGTACTGGCGTACCATTGCGGTCACAGTGGTACAAGATATACACCGCCGTCCCCAGATTGCGCAGCAGATCTCAGACTTGTTGGCGATGAGTGTTTCTGACTTCCTTTCCATGACTCAAGTACACACAGTCCCTTTCTTTGTCTTGACGAAGAAGCAGGACGTATTACAACGAATTGCCGACGCTTGTGGACAGTCGATCATGGTGCTGTGCAGGGAACACAACAATTTGGCTGCGATTCTTTCATGTATACTGCTCCGAACTTCTAGCGATGTAGAGAGTCTAGTCATGGGCTTACTCAATGCTGTTTCTCCAGAGTTCGGCAACGTGAATTGTGCCGAATTGCTGAAATCGGAGCCACAATCAACAGCGTCTGAATTATTGAGGGCTGCAGGTGAGAATGATGAAGCAAAGAGGCCCAAGGTAAGCGGACCCTTTGGAAGATCTGTAAGCGTGAGATCTAATCCGTTGAAGGCTCATCAAGCCCTCCATTTTCTCGCCGACATTACCCATGGTAGATCGATTGCTGGCCGAGGAACGGCTCGTAAGATGGATTGGATCGGTCCATTCTTCGAGACCCACGTGCTGGGTATCATGGCTCTTCTTGCCGATACAATAAACGATGGGAAAGGTCCACAGCCTATCCTCGAGAAGACTAGATGTTTGGGCGCGATTCGCGAAATGATAAAGCTTGCAAAAAGCCATGTCAGCAACGGTCTGCCACAGGTAAGCTCCTCACATTTCCACTTCCTGGGCGCTTCGATTAAATGAACGTTACTTGTAGATATGCGCATGTCTTCGATCCGCGATCGAAATTAAAGCTCTTTCCAATCAAGGCTTTAAGGCTTGGATTGTTATGATGACTACCCTTGGGGAAGACGACATTGCAACGCTTGTAGACCCTACGTTTGCCATTATCGTTCAGCATTGGGACTCGTTTGTGGCCGACATCCAGAAAGAGGCATACGAGATGATTAGTTATCTCCTGAAATCCCATTCATCTATGATATGCGACATCGTACACACCCTACCCTCGCTTGCCCCTGTACCATTAATGGCCAAATTCGAGGAAGAACTGGGCGGGCTGAAGGCTAGGATGGGTATAAAACACCACTATCAAGCTTTCAGCCAGCGATGCCAAAACGAAAATGTGACGGTTGTCTTCCGAGCTCTTTCTGAGCTCGCCGAGTACCTGGTGGAAAATCAAGGCTTTCTGCATGAGACCGCCAACAGTGAACAACCTGACCCTGTCGTGGGCCAACTGGCTCGGTCCATCCTGGATACCTCCGTGCTTTTCAATAATACGCATCCAGAGATATCTATTCTTTGTGCCAAGTGCATAGGACTTGTGGGATGCTTGGACCCCACGCGCATTGAAGCGGTCCGGGAGAAAAAGGAGATACTGGTCCTTTCCAACTTTGGCAGGGACGACGAGGCAAATGACTTTGTAATCTTCTTCCTTCGTGAAGTTTTGGTCAAAGCCTTTCTCTCGGCAACCAATTCAAGAAGTCAGGGCTTCTTGGCATATGCCATGCAAGAATTGTTAAGCATTTCAGAGATCAAAGAATCTGTGAGGCCTCGCCCACGTGATGCCCCATTTGACGCGAACTATCGCAGATGGGTATCGCTCCCGGAATCAGTGAGGACAACTTTGATGCCCTTTACTAATTCCAAATATTTCGTCACCGCTGGGATATCGCAGCTACCCTCTACCTACCCTTTGTATGATGCAAAGATGGGTCATGGGCAATGGCTCCGGACGTTCACCTTTGACCTCCTCAAGAGGAAAGTAGGAGATGGCAAGGTACAGACCATCTTCTCGGTTCTCAGTCGGATTATTCGATTTCAGGATATATCCATATCGAACTTCCTCCTACCATTTGCTTGCTTGAATGTTATCATCAACGGTAACGATCGTGAGAAGCTAGAAATCGGTCGAGAGCTTCTCCTTGTATTGCATGAACCTTTGCCAGAACAGGGTCATTCTAAGGATAGCACAATCCTTTGCAGCCAGGTAGGTGAGACACGAATTTTCTCCAGCGCTACCTGCTGATCCCTGTGTATAGACCGTCTTTCAAGTCCTCGACTACCTTTCGCGTTGGATGCAAGAGAAGAAAAAAGAAAATGCCAATGCGAAAAGCGCAGGAACAAGGGCAGGTCGAATACCGTCCGAAGCCGACCTTGAGCGGGAAATTGTGCAGATACAAAGTGTGGATACAGTCCTTGCACTGATACCCGCGGACGTGATATCCCGCCGGGCCGTAGAATGTAAATCTTTCTCCCGCGCACTCTTTCATTGGGAGCAATTCATCAGGCAACAACGAGATGAGGATCGAAATGCAAACCAAGGTGTTGATTTGGAACCCTTGTATGAACGACTTCAGGAGATTTACACACAGATCGACGAACCCGACGGTATCGAAGGCATTTCGGCTCATTTGCAAGTCCTTAATATAGATCAGCAGATCCTGGAGCATCGCAAGGCGGGAAGATGGACCGCAGCTCAGAGCTGGTACGAAATCCTCCTTACAGAGAAGCCAAAGGATTTTGATGTCCAATTCAACCTTCTCACATGTCTCAAAGAGTCTGGCCAGCATGGTAAGGGAAGCATTTTACAGAATGGTGAGGTCTTAGTGCTGATTTTGTCGAAGATGTTCTGTTGAATCAAGTTGAGGGCTTCCAACAGTCATATGCGACCAACATTCTGTCTCTACCATTTTCCACAGAGGCTTCTTGGGTGACTGGGAAGTGGGATAAACTGAAAGGCTACCTGTCTATGTCCACGGAAGCTTCCAACGGAAACTTCAATGTGGGGATTGGACGGGCTCTGTTGGCACTTTCCGAGGAAAATAACAGTCAATTCTCCGCCATTTTAAATCAGCTAAGACGCAACACTGCAAGAGGTTTATCGACAACGAACACAACGTCACTACAAGGGTGCCATGACTCGCTAGTGAAGTTCCACGCACTCGCCGAGATGGAAATGATTGGCGGTGCTGGAGACATGGACAAAAACATGAAATCCAGCCTAGTGTCATCCATGGACCAACGATTGGACGTGCTTGGGCCTTTCGTGTCCGATAAACAGTACTTGTTGGGACTTAGAAGGGCGGCAATGCAGCTTTCCAAGTAAGACACCTCATCTCTTGAATGACATTGACTGACCTTACAAGGCGTCATTTCTCGAACGCTGACATCGCGTCTGCTTGGTTGACAAGCGCGAAACTAGCTCGCAAAGGTGGCTTCACGCACCAAGCCTTCAACGCCGTCCTTCATGCGTCTCAGCTCGGCGATGCATCAGCAACGATAGAGCATTCTCGTCTTCTATGGAGAGAAGGCAATCATCGCAAAGCGATCCAAAGTCTAGAAGGCGCCATTGGTGCCAATGCTTTTAGATCTCATGACTACATTGAGGCAAACGAATCCTTAGCGACAAAACCCCCGGGCCTGCAGCAACAGCAAAACCTGCTAAAGGCGAGAGCTCATCTTTTGCTAGCAAAGTGGATCGACAGAGCCGGACAAACTCAATCCGATGTGATCATCCATCAGTACAATAGAGCTGCCGAATTTCATAACAGATGGGAGAAGGGTCACTACTATCTCGGAAAGCACTACAACAAGCTCCTGGAGTCAGAGAAAGCGAAACCACCTGGGAAACAGGCTCAGACTTTTATACAAGGCGAGACTGCCAAATTGGTGATCGAAAACTATCTCCGATCGCTAGCCTTCGGGGCAAAATACATATATCAGACTATGCCAAGGATTCTAACGCTGTGGTTGGATTTGGGATTCGAAACCGAACAGCCTTTGGATCCAAAGCACGGAAACGAAACTTTTAGAAGCCACACGATGGCACAGCGAAGAAAGCTCCTCGAAGCTTGTAATTCACAGATGAGGAAATATATTGACCGCCTACCGGCTTTTGCTTGGTATACTGCACTGTCCCAGATCGTGGCTCGGATATGTCATCCAAATTTAGCTATCTACAATCTCCTTGTTGACATTGTGACCAAAGTCGTGACTCAGCACACGGCACAAGCACTTTGGACTTTGCTAGCCGTAGTCAAATCATTTTCCAAAGAGAGGGCGAGTAGAGGCATGGCTTGCTTGACGAGAATACTGGAGAACGCGAAGAAATCCAAGGCAGACTCGACTGGAATAGAGCTAAAGACACTGGTCACTCAGGGACAGAGATTAACCGACCAGTTACTGCATGTTTGCGAGGGCAATATTCCTAACAAGCCTACGATGGTCAGTCTGACCAAGGATCTTGGCTTCAACCACAAGACGGCTTCTTCTAAGCTCGCAATACCGCTCGAGTCATCTTTGACTGCCAGTCTTCCGACGAATGACAGTATGAATATAAGGAGTCACAAGGCGTTCAATAGCAAAGACTACGTTCACATATCGTCCTTCCTAGATGATGTGGTGGTTTTGAATTCTCTCCAGCGACCGAGGAAGATCAGTATCCGAGGCTCTGATGGCCATGTCTACGCTCTTCTTTGCAAACCGAAAGATGATCTTCGCAAGGATCAACGTTTGATGGAATTCAACGCCATGATCAACCGCTCTCTGAAGAAAGACGCTGAATCCAGCAAACGCCGGCTTTACATCAAAACATATGCTGTAACGCCCTTGAATGAAGAATGCGGTCTGATTGAATGGGTAGACAATCTCAAAACTCTACGTGAGATTCTCTTGAACGGCTACAAGCAAAAGAACGTGCCGATCAACTACGGCGATTTGCGCAACCTACTTAACGAATCTGTGACGTCTCCTGGCAAGCTTTCCATCTTCACTGACAGAATCATACTCACTTTTCCTCCTGTCTTTCATGAATGGTTCGTTGAGATGTTTCCCGAGCCTGGGGCATGGTTCAATGCTCGCCTGCGTTATACTCGTTCGTGCGCTGTGATGTCCATTGTCGGACATGTCCTTGGACTAGGGGATCGCCACGGCGAGAACGTTTTGTTTGAAGAAAGCAATGGAGGCACCTTCCACGTCGACTTCAACTGTCTCTTCGACAAAGGCCTCACCTTTGAGAAACCAGAGCTGGTCCCCTTCCGCCTCACACACAACATGGTAGATGCGTTCGGCGCTTATGGTTATGAAGGGCCGTTCCGCAAGTCTTGCGAGCTCACGCTTGGCATCCTCCGCCAGAATGAAGATACGTTAATGACGATATTGGAGACCTTTCTCTATGATCCGACCACTGATTTCATTGGTAAGAAGAAGAAGGCCATTACCGGTGTGCCGGACACGCCGGAGGGAGTGCTAGAGAGTGTGAGGAACAAGGTTCACGGTTTGTTGCCCATGGAAAGTGTACCATTGAGTGTGGAAGGATATGTGCAGGCGTTAATCCAGCAGGCGACAGATCCATTCAAATTGGCGAGTATGTACATTGGCTGGTGCGCTTTCTTCTAGATGCGAGTTCGGGTAGAGAAGGCATCCATGACATACACAGTGTAGCAGTCAAAGGCATTGCAAAGGAGTTGAATCTGGCATTCGATGGCTCTGTTGGCTAGGTGTATCTATTCGCAGAACGATCAGACATAGAAGCAAGCGAGATATAGCTTCTGTTGCGTGATCGCCACGATTTTGATATTGTCAATTTGCTATGTACAATAAGCCATAATAATCAAGTCGCTAACGCTGTTCTCTCTCGCTGAGACAATGTCTATGCTCCGTCTAGTAAGCCACCATGGAAGAAAGTCCATCCATCTCACGATCGAAGTTCTTGTGTTGGGAGATGTTGAAAGTGTAGACATCGATGAAGTCCTTCGCACCCTTGGCCATGTTGATGGTTTCCTTGAATGACTCAGGCTTCGCTGCTCCAGCAGTGACGACACCGTAGGAGTCGACGACATCGTGACTACCAGCAGCAGAGAAAGTCATACCATCGACCTCACATGCTGTTTTCACAAGGTTCACAGCCTCGCCGGTCGCACCAATGGCCTTGAGATGACCGAACGCTTCACGCACCCCTGGTTTATGATTTCAGAGTCAGTCTTGCTTGTTTGAGAGGGTATAGGGAGCCTTGGAACACGTCTAGAGAGTCAATACTCCCAACACATGTCTCAAGACTTAAGATTTGGTTCAAAAGAGGTAATATGAACTCCGAAAACACGTACAGTGGACCACTCGGCCCTGCTTACGCAGAGTTTCAATGTGAGGACCTCCAGGAATAAAGATGGAATCGAACATGGTAGAGCGCATGCCTTCGAAATGATGGTCTGGCTGAACGCCTTTGCCACCTACAAAAACTCCGGAGTCAGCACTCCTTCTTTATGGAAAAGCCTGGAGCAATGAGACAGCTCGAAGGGATTTAAAGAGCTTTCCATTCTCATAGTATGTCTTGCGAAAACTGGTGCCGAATATGAATCTGTTGACCCAAATATGTACATACCTTTGCTCTCGCCTTCCGCAAGCACAGTCTGGCGCTTGGGGCCAATGACAAAGGGGAAGGCCTTTGCAGCCTTGAGAGCAGCATATACTCCATTGAAGGCGACTGGATCGTAGCCGTCGCCGATGAGGATAGCGACACGTCTACTGGCAATCGTTGGCTTTGGTGCGTTGTAGGCCGTAATGCTTAGACCCGCAGATTGGTTGCCTGCATTCGGCTTGCCTTGTTTAGTTGGCGTGGGCGCACCTGCCTTCTCGGCCACGGCTTGGGCAAGCTCGATGTCAATATCGCAGAGACGCTCGATCATTCTATTATACACGACCGGGTCATCACAGTGGTCGAGTTCAAAGCCTAAGGCGGAGATCAAATGCATCTTCTCAGGCGGGCTTTGGGAGTTCCAGAAAAGTTGAGCTTGCGAGATGTGATCCTTAAATTTTTGAGATTTGAGACGAGTCTTAATTCCCGCCACTTTTTCTGGATGGTCGACATATCCGCCCTCAGAAGGCTTGGCTGGCGGGGCAGACTCCCAGCGGTTTGGCCAGTAGTTGGCTTTGCCCTTAGTAATCGTGTGACGTTTTTGGCCATCCCTGTTTTGGTTCATAACAGGACAGACGGGGCGATTGATGGGAAGCTCTTCCCAATTGATGCCGAGTCTAGAAACCTGAGTATCGAAGTAGGAAAAGTTTCTTCCCTGTAAGAGAGGATCGTCGGAGAAACCTATGCCAGGAACGACATGGCCAGTTGCGAAAGCAGCCTGCTCGGTCTGAGTAAAATACTCATCAACGTTGCGATTAAGTTCAAGCTCTCCAATGTACCTAATCGGTACCATTTCCTCGGGCCAGACTTTGGTCGCATCGAGGATGTCGAAGTCAAAGTCATGTTCCTGTGATTCCTCGAGAGTCTGTATGCCGAACTTCCATGTAGGGAATACTCCCTGACTGATAGCTTCGTAAAGATCTTTCCGGTGAAAATCAGGGTCTTGGCCAGCCAATTTCAACGCCTCATCCCACACAAAGGAATGAACGCCAAGGGTTGGTGTGAAATGGAATTTTACAAAGTGTCTCTCGCCCTTCGCGTTGGTGAGGGTGTAAGTATTGACACCAAACCCTTGCATCATTCTGTAGGACCGAGGGATACCCCGATCTGACATAGCCCACATGAACATATGAGTGGCTTCGGAGTGTAGGTATTGGAAGTCCCAGAAATTGTTGTGGGCGGTCTGGGCCTGCGGAACTTCAACATCTGGTTCAGGCTTCGCCGCGTGGATCAAGTCCGTGAATTTAATGGCGTCCTGAATGAAGAAGACGGGAATGTCGTTGCCCACGATATCCCAATTGCCCTCCTCAGTGTAGAACTTGACGGCAAAGCCTCGCACGTCACGTACTGTATCGGCGCTACCTCGCGACCCAAGGACCGTGGAGAACCGAAGGAAGACTGGTGTGGTTCGGGAAGTGTCTGTCAAAACCCCAGCACTCGTCACGTCTTGGGCGCTTTCGTAGAGCTTGAAGGTTCCGAATGCTCCGGCACCGCGGGCATGGACTACTCGTTCCGGTATACGCTCGTGATCGAATCGGTGTATCTTGACTGCTGGTCAGTAATGTCCTGGGTAGGCCTGCAGACCAGCGCTAACCTTCTCTCGTGCATGACCATCCTCCAACAATGCCGGGCCATACTGATCTTCGGTGGAGACAGTGAGCCAGTGGTCTGTGTCAGACACTTTGCTGCCCCAATCGGTAGTAAGCCTAGCATTGGAGTCATGGGAGTCTTTGGTGTCCTTGGAGATATCGGCAAGCTTCGGATTTTGGAAAGCTGCGCCGTCCATAACCTTCTGAAGACCACTAGAAAGGGTGGAAGCCATCTCGGTCTGCATTAAAAAGAAAATGGTTGGTACAAAAGGGTGTGGAAGAGAGGGAAGACTTGGTTAGCACTAAGACGAAAAAGTCGACTGAGGGTGAAAGAGAAGCATCACTCGAGGTGAGCTGAGCTTGAACATGAAGTGGCGGGAAAGTGATGTAACTGCCAATTTCAATCATGACGTCCAACATGCAATTCCCCATACGGAAAGCATCTATCCGAGGGCCATACTCTGATATGATAATCCAACACCACACCATACCATCAGATACCAGGTATACACCTGTCCGAAAATCTCGTCTAAGTCCGCGTCCAAGAGTCTAGCTTCAGTAATGGTATACCTAGTACTGCTGCGAGCGTACAGAGTAGTATATTGTTTCACGCCATCATCCGAACCCAATCCCCATTCCCGTTCCAATTGCCGCTTTCGAGCCTTTAATGTTGCCCATCACCGTACGCTGTGGGCCTCTCTGGACGACTTTGGTGGTTGCAAAAATCCCTCGTGTCACCAGCAGACCTTAATACAATTGTGCGCTAAGTTACCATGCATGAAATGTGGATTGCCAGGTGAAGCGAACGGTAGGTTGGATATCTAGCGTTGACAAAAGAGTAGAAAGACACAAGAGGAGATCTGGCGGAGCGCTCGTTTTTGTGGAGCTGGTGCAGCCTCGGGCCTATCAACCTGCCGTCTTCTACCAGTGAACTACTCTATTGTTGTAATGTAATGTCACTTCTCTCGCGAGGCTACTCTCCACGTTTAAAGACTCTACCACATGTCTGCCGCATGTCAATCTCCTCCTGTCGTCATGCGAAATGGTACATGGATCAGCCGATATTCGATGCAAATCCCCCTGATGGTACTTGGGGAAGTGAAGTCCGGATAGCTCCAGGATAAGATGCCGCCAAGGTTCTCTCCAAGCTGAATCCTCTGCTTCTCGGCCACGGTGGCTCCCAGCCTCACCCTTGGAACTTATATTCAGATGGCCAAGGTAATTGGCGCTCTTTCTATTTCAAAACTTTCAACGAAACTTGGGTCCGTTCACATCGACAGGATCACCGGCTTTTCGGATGGCCGAGCTGACCATGAGTACAGGCGTTCATGCAAGCCGTTTCAGACCGATGCAAATCAAAAAGGCATCATCCTGAGTGGTGGAATGTAAAGCAAATTCTGCGCCTGGTAGTCTATGTTCATCTATTCACCCAATAGTCATACAACCACACGCTTATTCAGTGGACTACACATAAGCCCCAAGGTCTTACTATCAAGGACGTAGTAGACATGGCAGCTTGGTGCGACGAGCAGGCTTATGCTCATGCTGAACTGCAGGATTCTGAGCCGGCATCTACAAAACCTTTCGATTCCGTGAGGTAAAGGTCTAACTAAGCTTCCTTATTTTGTCGGCTTGTTCACACAGAAAAAGCATGGGACGTTGCACAGGACAGCGCTCGAGATGTTTGGGTACCAAACGCCAGGCATCAAAAGCGCCAAACGCCCGAACACCTTGAACACTCTCAAAAGGATACGATCCGGAAGTGTAGGGTGTAGTACTCTTAAATCGACAGACTAAGAGGTCAGATCCCCATAGTCGGCCTCGCAGCGTCAACCTTTGTGGACGTTTTGTGAATGTTTCGGCTCGTCTTCCGCTCATTGTATTTTTTCCCTTTCTTTCGCCAGCCGGCGTTCTCTCCTCTTTTTGGCCGCCTCTGGCCCAGACTCTGTGTCCAATATGTAATCCCACCATCTAAAGCTGCTCGAATAATTGCCGATAAATTTCTCGTGATGAACATCGTGATGCTCTGCGCCAGCCCAGAATGGTAGGAAGTGATGTAAGCTCCATGGGAATTCGTATCCGCTGTGCGCATCGATGGCTTGGAACAGTCGGCACACAATCCAGATGTACATTGTCAAGATATGAAGTTCGCCGGTTATGGCACACCATAATAACGGAGCGCCCACAGTGCCGAGACCCAAGATCATAACCTCGATGGGCGAAGCGTATTCTGCTGCCAAGCCAAAAGGAGCCGAGTATTGATGGTGGATCTTATGGATGTTCTTGTAGAGCGGGCCCCAATGGAGCGCACGATGCGACCAGTAATGCCAGGTGTCCTCCAACACAAAGAACACAGCGATTTGGTACCTGCGTCTCGGTCAGTGTTCAATAATCCCGAGTCACGATGTGGGCACTTTGTGAGAGGGACCATACAGCATTGTGAGGAGAGAGGGGAAGGGTACGCCGGTAGCAAGCCCGACATACTGAGCCATTGGGTGGAAGAGCCTAGGAAGATCAATAAGTTTCCACACGCGGGGCAATCGGGTTGACAGAGCGTACCATATTTGAGGTAGCTCAACAGTGAAATGAGAAAGCAGAACCAGTTTAGCGCAACTCCATTGTTCTTGTGCTGTTGGAATTTTTTGCTAGCCATGTAGTCAGTCGTCAATACCTTGGGGCTGGATATGCGAAACAACGTTCCATACATTTTGAATCTTGTATTTGTTGAAGTATGAAATGCGGTCTATGATTGCCCATGGAATTGAGCGGCCAAAATAGATGATCTCGTGCATCACGAAGGACATGATACCAGTAGCGAGGACATCATTCTGTAGATAGGCATACCACGCTGCCCACAAGCGTTCCCAAACGTTAAGATGGACATTGTACTTGGTAATTTCATCGAATTGTCCCCAGTAAGTCTCCGCCGGTGAGGAAAAGAGCGATGATGTTGAATTCCTGTTGGGAGCTGTCAGATGGGCGCGTGAGACTTTGAAAGAAGCTGGGACTCACATGGCGAGGAGGCTTGCCAAATAGTAGGCCGTGTCGAGGATAACGAGATGGAAAATTCGGTAGAGCAGTGAGGACAAATGCACTCGAACAATAAATAAAAATGGAAAGGGTTTCAGGGTCCAGGATAACAGTCGGGAACGGAATATTCTAGCGCCAGTGGCGCCACTGAATTCACTGATCGGAAAAATTACATTATGAAATGCCGAAAATGCCAAGAACCTGGCGGATGCCCTAAATAATTGCTCGGACGATGTGGAGAGCGTAGCTGCCACCGATGTTGTGGAAGGGCAACAAAGGGGTTTCTAGAGGTAGTGTAATGTGACGTATAATTGCTCTTGACGGCAAATGGTGCAAGCTCTCCAATATGTCTTTCGTGACAGAGTAAGTCAAACACAACCGTCTAAGTAATGGACCTAGAGTTTCTCGCCCTTGATCTTGGTCTTTAATGTCTTGCAACTTTGGACCGTAGCGATTGCCTTTTGTGGTGACAGCTTGCCTGACTCATTGTTTACATGCTAAGCCGAATCACAGTCACGTCAGCAAAGTCGATGGCCAGCTTGATGCGCTGCAGCTTCCGAGACAGCCCTCCATCCCTTCCTCGCCCGAGCTTCGTTCCGCCTCTGATGAGACTCATGAAGCCGCGGATGTCAGTGGAACTGGCGAACGTGACTTTGAGCTGCCTCGGATTCTGAAGATACAAGCTGCAATTAAGACACTCTCCGCCGCCTCTTCGTCCAGAGCACTGCTTCACCCTGATACAATATGGGTCATCTTGAACCAGACACTCGAAGCATCTGTCCCCAGCAGTGAGGAGGCCAGAGTCAATTCCTCACAAATGCAGGAGCTGGAGTGGCTTTTGGTCAGCAAGGCTACTACGCAGACCTACGGGATAATCTTGAATGCGTTGCTGGACCAGACAACACCCCTAAGCAACGACATAGGATACTGGGATCAAGTTCTAGGTTCCTACAGATATACTGGGTTGTACACCGTTCAGACGTCGCCGATACGTCTTTGGTACTGGGCCAACGACATATACGGCGACGCTTGGCAGCGCCTACAGAATGTTCGAAGTGCTGGTGAAGGTGAAGAAGAAGCGAGAGTGCTGTCGGTATTCGACCGCTGGAGGCAATTCTATAGCTTGGTAAAGGACAGTGTGCGCGATCGTTCTCTGGATGATATGCAGTCAAAGTTCTTGTCGCCCCTGACCATGAGCCGCCTAGAGGCAAGATCGAAGAGAAGCCACCTCAAAAGGCTACGTGAAATGAGCGCAAGTGGGCTAGGAATCCTCATGGACGAGGGTATGATCTTCGACGCGGACGAAGAAGCACCTGTCAGCTTCAAGGATCCATCAGATAGCAAAGAAGAATGGCGAAGTGTTGTCTCAAAAAGTGTCTCATTGATGGAGATCGTTTTACAAAACATCCATATTCTTGAACTTGGAGCCGCCGAGTTTGAGGAGACTGTGTTCATGAGCGTGGACGACGATTCCCAGCCTCCACAGCACGACAGCATGGAAAAGCAGTCTGCCCCGCGAGTTGTACGGCTTGCTAGCCGTCTTCAGGAAATATTATGGCTCCATATGCCCACTCACACCACCACTTCTAAAGCGTTGGCCACAGAGTATGGAAAGCCTTCTCGCCTAGTTCGCTATTGGCTGCCAGGGTTGGCTCTCTTTCTCTCGTCCGGTACCGTGCTCCGCATACTGGTCAACCGGAAGGCAGATATCGTAACTTGGATCCGCGATTTCGGAACGACGTCTATAGATTTCTGGAACAATTGGGTTGTAGAGCCTACGAAGAAGGTTATGAGGACAATACGACATGACAAGGAAAGTGAGATAGCCATAATGAGCAGGGAAAGTCTGAAAGGTGATAGGGACAGCTTGGAACGCATGGTTATTGATTTTGCACGCGACAATCCCAACACTTCCACCGGTCTCCCTCTCACCGATTCAGACATTTCCGTTGTTAGAGCTAAAGTCAGGGAAGGGGATTTGACGCCAGTGCTGAGAGCATACGAGGTATGTAATTTTGGGGATGATTCTTTTCTATAAGGACCTCGGTCTGCGCGGTGAGACAGATCTGGGGAGCTGAAAAAGGGTTTCTCTCCGCTTTCCTGCTTCCCAGGCTTGTTTTCTGAGTCAAATCTTTTTCGTGAACAAGGTATGCTGACTTCGGAATCGTCATTAGAAAGACCTTCGGAAGCCCTTCCTGGGAACAATCAGAGGAGATCTCATTCGCGCACTTCTCATTCAAGTTCAGAAGACTAAGGTCGATGTCGAGCTTGCTGTTAGTGGCATCGATGCCCTCCTCAAGAGCCAAGAATTAGTGTTCGGGTAAATACTTCCCATCGTAGGTAGATTCACCATTAGGCAATGCTAACGAGGATAAAAGATTTGTAGGGTTGGCTCCAGGAATGCTGGTTTCTCTCTCTGTGTCTCGCTGGCTTGGAGATGTATTTGCCGGACGAAAAGGTAAAGTACAGGGCAGAAAAAAGGGCAGCATGATTCGAATTTTGAGGTCAGTACTGGAATGTACACTACTCTGCATCATGTTAAATTCTACTGTAGGAATGTTGATCGGATCCTGAGTGGCTCGACACCGTCGGAAAGTGGAATGTTATCTTACAAAGACCACGGCATGCTATTGTGTGAAGTTCACTTACTCCGACAAAAGGCCCAGCGTGTCCTTCCTGGCGAGATCTACAACGAGTTCCTTGAGGAAGTCAACGACCTTGTTGATCTTCGGACTGGGATTGAACGTCAGACGCGGGTTGTTGAAAGAATTCGGTGGGCATATTCGAAATGGCTCTAGTAATGACATTACGGTGCATGAGCGTCGATCAACAGCATAACCCTGGCTCGGCGTTTGATAGGTGTATTTGCTCTGGACTGCTTCCAAGCAACACGGTGCTATGTAGATGGGATGGGACGACAATATTGAAGATCAGATGTAGATACTTTGTTTCCAGGCTCGAGGTGGATTTTCAAAGAACAATTGACCATTGACAGGTCCCTACCGAATGATTTGGTGGAAGAGCTTGCAATTTTGGATCTCTGAAAAGAGTTGTGTCAACTCGATTGACATTGAGGCACTCAGTCGTTTTGAGCGGTTTTGTAGTTCTTGCGTTAGGTGGTAAATGGCTTGACGCATTGAAGCTGTACGAGTACGAACTTGGCGATAAATTACAATTAGCATGAAACGCTAGTACTAAGTACGTAGCTCATTGTGGTGAATATCTATCAATTTACAACTCATCTCGAACGCCGTCAGCTTGCTTGTCGTCATACTGAGTGCGACAAATCCTTCAAAAGGAACAACGATCCTGTACGCCACGACACAGAGGCCTCGGTCTACCAGCGCTGTACTACTGCTATCTTTGTTTGAGGTAGAGCTTCCTCAAGCATACATATTCTCCAGCACCCTTCGCCGGCAAAAGCATGGCCGGTACTCGGAATTACGACTTTCTTGTAAGTCGTAACTGGCGCCGATCCTTCATTCGAGACTTGTACAAAGCACGGCACTGACAGCCTTCAGATCAAACTTCTCCTCATTGGCGACTCAGGCGTTGGAAAATCATGCTGTCTCCTTCGGTTCAGCGAAGATTCCTTTACACCATCCTTCATTACTACCATAGGAATCGACTTCAAGATTCGAACAATTGAGTTGGACGGCAAAAGGGTGAAGCTACAGATATGGGACACTGCGGGGCAAGAAAGGTTCAGGACCATCACCACGGCATACTATAGAGGTGCAATGGGCATCTTGCTGGTATATGATGTCACGGATGAGCGGTCATTCAATAGTAGGATTTATGTATCCATTTTCTGGAAAGCAAGCTGACATATGTCAGACATCCGGACCTGGTTCTCTAATGTCGAGCAACACGCGACTGAGGGCGTTAACAAGATCTTGATTGGGAACAAGTGTGATTGGGAAGAGAAGAGGGTGGTGTCAGTAGAAAGAGGGCAGCAATTAGCAGATGAGCTGGGCATACCGTTCATGGAGGTTTCAGCAAAGAGCAACATCAACGTGGAGAAGGCTTTCTACAGCCTCGCCGCGGACATCAAGAAGAGGATTATCGATACTTCGAAAAATGATCAGGCGCCTGCACAGGGCGTTAACGTGTCGGATCAGAATAACAGCATAGGCTCGATGGGTGGAAAATGCTGCTGAAGTGGAAGAGCTAGCGCTGATGGTCAGTGGCACGTTTTCTATGACGCTAGCGTTTGATATCTTGTGCAGACCTCGTTGAACGGCGTGAAGGTTTGGGTCTGGATTGGTTTCTTCAACGTCAGATATTCCCCAGAACATGTTGCATCGGATTTCACAATATCACCTACGATTATGGTTGAATGAAAGATGTTCCCGGTCATTACACGCTACTCACAAATCCTGCTCCTACTCTAAAAAGCATACATGACCTACTAACCTACGAGCATCATACGTATACGCAGACGGCATTAAGATTCCAGAGAATAATCAATGAATGCCTCCATTGTTATATTTCAATAGCCAGAAATATCTGTTTCTATATAATGATCTATTGCGAAGTGTGTAAAGTATACGCTTCGCCATAGAGTAGAGTTAGCCAGCAAGGCATTCGAGAAATCGATCCCGCGCTCAGGCATGCTGCGAGAAAAACATTGACAGTTTAGCAGGACGAGACTTAGAAAAAATGTCAATCTAGGTGAACAGGCATTGGATTTCCCAGTCAGTATTCCTTGTTCTGTGATCTTCAGCATAAATAGTCAATCCCTTCTAGATTGTACCCACAAGAGGGTGCAAAGTTGGAATTTGGGAGCTCGTAGGACTGCCACTTCTAACAGCTTGCCCTTTCCCCCTTCTCTTCATATGCCAGGTCCCAGGAAGTCTTACCTTGGTCTATTATCTCCCAACAGAAAAGTCCAGTATTCTCAATATAGATGCATGAGCTCTTAGATAGGTCTATGGCACACTTAAAATACATCTTCCCTCCACATCCACGACTTCGACGTGCAGAATTCTTTATCCTTACACGGTGGAGCTTCGTGCTACATATTCTCTATGATTTAAGATCTGGACCTCGGGCATTCCTTGTCATGCACCCAGAATGACGTCTCTAATGCAAGGTAATGTTCCGATATCCACCATGCTTGATCTAAACAGCGGATCCCAAGCCGGCACACTATCCCCTTCCGCGTCCATATCGACCTCGACTCCTGCTACGGCTCCGATCGCTATAGCTGGAAAAGCTGGAGTAGCTAGGACTCCTTCTTCTCCTGCCTCCCCTCGGTGGCGGTGGGCTGTCTCGACGTCCGTAGTTTCGGCTTCTACGTGGGGGAGACCGGGTCCTCGATCTGGAAGAATAGGACCGTGAGCGTGTTCTCGGTGATCTGGAACGAGAGAATGAGCGCGGCCGGTATGTGTCTGAATCGCGATCTCTCGGGGCTGGACGGCCTCCATACCTCCTTTGTGGTGAGCCTCTTCTTGGGGGTTGCGGAGAGCGATATCTTCCACCGCCAGGGGGTCCATAGTTAAGCGGGGGGGGTCCTCCTCGATATCTGCCAGGCGGAGGTGCGCGTGCCTCGAAGCGATCATAAGGAGGAGCACCTCTACGAGGTGGAGGCGGCGACCGTGAGAACTTACGGCGAGGAAGGACGATCGAGACATTGATGATTGCACCGTCTAGCTGGGCTTCATGCATATGAGCAATTGCAGCTTCAGCATGTGGGGTGTCAGTGTATACAATGTAAGCGGTGCCACGATTGGCCATGACTAAGTCTCTCAGCTTCAGGTTTCAAAAGAAAGCACGGGGTACTATACACTGCCTGTTCATGGGTAGGTCAAGCTCCCGGATAGAGCCATATGCACCAAATATCTCTCGTAGATGGCCTTCATTGACGTTTTTCGTAAGCTTCTCCACCACAATCTATGCAACGTAAGTTTTAGGGTATGCCGTAGACGAGTTTGCGATCGCCTAAGGTACCTTTGAGCTTTTGGGTAGTAGGGAGCCATGGCTTGGAGATCGCGTGTAACTGGGGTCTCTATATCGTCGTCCAGCTCGGCCTTCGCTCCTACTCCTCGACGCACTCCTTGTTGGACTTCTGCTGCGTTCCTTCCCATTTCTAACTCCATTCCGTTTATCGCCTTGAGCTGATGATGTTCGGCTTGGCGTTCTTGACCTTGATCTAGAGCGAGGCGAGATGGTGCGGCGAGGTGCAGACCTCGTCCGGGAAGGAGTTTGGGATTTGGCGAACGCAGAAGTTTGGTGACGTGATCGCGTTCTGCCTCTTTCAGGAGACACGGAAGGCATGTTGGGCAGAACTGGCAGGATTCTCGGACCTCGTAGCATTAATTGAAATGAGTATGCATGATTCCTTCAATAAACTTACTCATAAGGTTTTGTAACGGATGCTGACTACTCATAAATTACATGATCGCGCTAATATAGGTATCAACCAAAAATACATAGAGTTAAGCATATGTGGGAGAATGGTGAAATCGCAATGCAGAACAGGCTCACCATTAATCCAGGGTGGATTTGGACATGGGCTTCAAGCCTGGGACCTGAAACCAGAATACGTCCACACGAAATCGTTGGGCGACCTTTTCCGGATTCTTGTCCAATTGGTGTCACCTCCCTGCTCCCCATGCCTCGTACTTCCTCACCATTTCCGGAGTGACGGATCGCTTTACTGTAGCCAAAGCAGTACTCAATTGCTTCTGACTGACTCGCCGTTTTTCTTTCGATTGTATCTGCTCCTCAAAAGCAATGTAGCTAGCCTGCTCGCAGATTTTCACTATTTCCGCCCCAGTAAAGCCCTCGGTCATTTCTGACAACGCCATTACGTCGACATCGTCTGAGAGAGACACGGGAGTCTGCATCTGTAGAATGGCTCGCCTGGCCTCCAAGTCTGGTAGTCCAACGTACAGGGTCTCCGAAAGCCTACCAGCACGGATGAGAGCTGGATCGAGTAGTTCTGGTTTGTTGGTAGCTGCAAGGACGAATACGCCCTTGAGCTCCTCAACGCCATCCAGCTCGTTCAACAGCGTAGTAACAGTATGAATGCCTCCTTGTTGGCTCTTGTCCCTCGCAGCACCTACGGCGTCGATCTCGTCAAAGAAGATGATGCTAGGACTGGCAGCACGAGCTTTGCCGAAGACTTCGCGCACTGCACGCTCAGTCTCTCCAACGTACATGCTCAACAGTTCTGCGCCTCTAACTGCAATGAAGTTCAGCCCTGACTCTGTAGCAGTCGCCCTGGCGGTCATGGTTTTAGAACACCCAGGAGGGCCATATAAGAGAAGACCTTTCTTTGCTTTGAGTCCGGACTGCTTCATTTCATCGGGGTACTATGGAAAACATCAGCAATTGTTGCTGAGAGGGTGCGATGGTGCAATATAAATTCTACCTTGACCGGCCACACCAATGCCTGTTGAATACGCTTCTTCACCTCGTGTTGCCCTCCAATATCACTCCATTTGGTTTCCGGGATCTCCAAGAATATTTCTTGCATCACTGTAGGCCGAATGTTTGCTAAGGCGCTGGTGAACGCGTCCTCCATACTTTCAAGCAAAGCTTGTGGCTCGGTTGGACGACAATCAAAGTCTCCAATTCTCGACTCGGATGCTCTATCTTGAGCTCGTGTTGTCTTCATTGCTTGGCGTAGCAACTTTTTAAGGTCTGCTCCAACAAATCCGTGTGTACGTGCAGCTATCCTTTCCAAGGTCGAATCAGCTTTGTCTTTCGGTAACTTACACAGGACCTTCAGTATTTCCGCACGCGATTTTGAGTCAGGGATTGGTATCTCGATCTCCAAGTCGAGTCGCCCTACTCGTCTCAGATCTTGATTGATCTCTGTGAGACTGCGGGTGGCTCCAATAGCAAGTGTCTGCGTCTCATCGAGTCGGTCAAGCTGCCGAGACAGAATCTGCCCTATGTTCACGGATCGTGCAAGATCCGTTGGATTTTGTTTACCAGCGATAGATTCCAGGTGGTCAATAATGATAACACTAGGCTGACAACCCAGGGCCTTAGAGAAAATTTGGGGAATGGCTGTTTCGTTTTCACCAAGCTGCTGACTGCCGTCTGTAATGTCAATGTGGAATGCCCTCCGCCAACCGGCCTCGCAAATCTTGCGGAGAACCATACTTTTACCGGTACCAGGAGCGCCATGAAGAAGAATGCCACCTTGACATGTTCGAAAGAAAAGAGGCATTTTTGCGTATTTTTCGGGAGGGTGGCTGTACACACTAACTTCGTCATTCAAAAGCTCGATTTGCTTGTCTAAGCCGCCAACTCCTTCGCTGGGAACAACAAGCAAGCTCTTGCCCCACTCAAAGCTGTTGGCTCTCTTGGAATGGCCATCTTTCAGACAGACTGTGCAGCTCGGTCGTGCACGATAGAGCATCTGGTCAGCAGACGAGTTGATGCTTTGTATCCGGTATGATCTTCTTTCATCGTTGGCTTCCACGCGGTCAAAGGTCATACCTGGAGCCAGTATCTCTGCCTTGCACAAGTAATGCTTAAGTCGCCACGCCCAATGAGAACGTTCATCCTCGTCAGGGTTCGGGGGAGTTGATTGTGATTCATTTTGCGGAATCTCGCATAGAGTAATCTCATCTGCATCTGTAATCGCTACGTCGCCACGGCGAATGGAAATTCGACTGTCAAGCTTTAAGCCGTAGAGAATCTGAAGAGCCTTCGAAGTTTGCACCACGTCGTCCTTGATTTTTTCGGTCGCGGGCCAGACAACAGCCGGTCGAGTTGACAGTTGATGAAGAGTTACTATGTGGCAAACATCGCCAGCATGAAGTTTATGTAGTAGAAGTTGTGCGGGCGACAGAAAAATTCGGAAAACATCCTTTGTGTCTTCACGTGAAGAAGGCCGCACCTTGTATTCGGGCTCCTTCATAGTCCCTCACAGTGAGGCTCTTACGATGATGAGATGCTATTTTTGTTCTCAAACTTCTTCCACGAATAGCAATGTCGAGCGATGATATCTTCGAACTCTAGGCTCTTTGAAGCGATTGCCTACCGTAGAAATCAGTAGTTGGCTGGGTTCTATACGATACATGATGCACCAAACCTGGTCCCAATACTTACAGACGATTCTTAGTCGGCCTTCGGCCTTCTAAAAGTTCTACCGGGACGGTTACCCCTATATTCTTAGGGCCCCTTCGGTAACCACATATTTTCAAATATGCCAACATATTTTCAAATTAGCGTACTACATATACACGGTTTCGTTCGATAATCATATTTTCATTTATTAGATCATATTTCGTATTGAAAATAAGTAAATTATAGGTTAATCTATAATTTGAGATCTAATATACGCTAAGTATATAGAAATAATAGACATTTATAACTGTAATAGCGATATTTTTCATTTTCACGATTGATAACCGCATTTCATAACTGTAATAGCTATATTTCAGTTATGAATAACTCTCTATTTAAAGAGATAGCTATAAATATCGTTCTTATTACTACTTAATACTATTCTTCTCATTATAATAATTAAATACGAAGAATATCTATTCTATCTAACTATGTCTATATTAAAGAAATTCTAAATAGCTATTCTATAGTTATATAAAGTACTTTTTATATATCTTTCTATATATTAATAGATAAGAAAATATTTATTCTTAATAAGAAAGAATTTTTCGACTATTCTATATTCGATTCTTACTTAATAAGATTATAGAGTTATTAAATGAAATCGTATATATATTTTATATATTTTTAAGTATCTATTAATACTATTTTAAGTCTACGTTTTATTTACTAAGAGATAAGATAATATATATTAGTATATTTTAAGAATATATAATTATCGAAGACTTAAAGAAACTCTTAATTATTTAGAGAGAGAAAATTTTCGTAAGTATCTCTCTCTCGAAGATTAAAAAATAAAACTTCTAAAATAACTTTATAACGATAGATTATAATTTTCTAAAAACTTTAGAATTATTAGAAGATATAATAAAGAGTATATATCTTAATCTTTAGAATATTCTATTTATCTACTATATAGTAAAATAAAAATCTATTAAATTCTTAAGATTTTTTTAATAAGTCTTAACGATTATAGAAAAGTCGAGATAACTTTTTAATATAGAATATATATTCTTAATTTATATTATATCTTACGATATCTAAATTAAAATCTTCTAAAATACTTAAAATAAATTATTTAATATTATAAGAAAGATTAAGAATTATAAAGAAATTTAATAATTTTTAATTTTTAATTTTCGAGAGAAGATAATTATAAAAACTATTCTATTTTTTTAATAATTAAGAATATAATTACGATATATTAAGATTTTATCTCGTCTTAGAGCTAGAGTTAACTAGCGTAACTTAATATTATATATATCTATTCTATAGATATATAAAAGAATTAATATCTATATATTATACTAGAAATTATATAGCTTAATTATTATTTTTCTTAATAAATATAAAAGTATTAGAAAATAAAAAGGTTCTTATAAATATCTTTTTCTTAAAAATTAAAAATTAAGATTTCTTAAATAGCTTTATAATTATAATTTTTTATAATCTATATTTTTACTACTTTTATTTATAACATTAATTTATTAATTATTAAAATCTTAAAAGATTTTAATTTAAATATTATAAGATATAATATATATTAAGAATATTTATTTTATATTAAAAAACTATCTCGACGATATTATAAATATAAAGATTTTTTAAAGATCTTAAGAATTTAATAGATTTCTATTTTATTATATAGTATAAGTGTTAAGAAATAGTTCTTAATATTATAATATTGATGTGGTGTAAAGATGTTTTATTATCTATGTGGTCTACAGGCAGATATGTGCGGTGCCAAGCCTACGCTAGTGGCCCTATGAGTATCCCTGAGGCATCTCATAACAATTGCCCACAAAAAACAGAGAAAGGTTATATCCTCATGGCAAGAAGTAAGCATATATAAATGAGTGAGTTTTCGAAATGTTGGAAACGAATGGAGACACCAGGCTAATTAGTGGTGTGAATCCCATAAGTTCTTCTGCCGCAGCGAAGCCCTTCGAATAGTATCGGAGTAAGACATTAGACGGTTTCAATTCGTTCAAATATATATCGTTCGATCTTCCTCTTAATCTTCCTCCTATAGTAGCTTAATTGACTATAATGATTTGGCTGCGATCGACGCAGTAGGTCCTCCTCTTGTGTGCTTATTGCAGTGATGTACTATAATGTGATATTGTCTAGGCATGTGGAGATAGTAGGCCAAATCGTAGTGGTGTTCTCCGTTTGCTGAGTGATAATTT